GAAATTTGACAACTGAGGAGCTTGCTTTTTTATGTGTGATAGATTAGTAACAGTAATATTTAAATCTTACAAGAAAATACATTCCTGCCTTTCACTTGACTGAGGCTTAAATTACACCAGGAGTAGAGTATAAGATCAGCATGCAAGAATGAGAAACATCCTGGGGGAGGTCTCATCAAGTATGATCATCTGCTAACGGTGCAAGAATATTTATTAAAATTTGGAAATCAAAGTTTGAAATCTCTAAATTAGGACTGCATATACCCTAAAAAAAGTTATCATTAAAAAAAAAAGCTTTTAAAGTTCCTGTAGACCTCAACATCAGGAGTTAATGGACACTTGAAGGCAATGTGACATCCATCTATAGATTGAATTACTCCTGGGAAGTGCCCTTATTCAATGAATTGCACGTTATAGTTGAATTGGCCCAGCATCAGAACACTCACTTCACAAATGGCCTTGCAGTCTTTGTGAACTCCTCTGCACACATTTGCTCCACTGGCACCATGCAAATCCCCACTGACACGATGAGAAACCTGTAAGTGATCAGAACTTGGAGACAAGAGGGTGAAGGCTGTTCTCTGTGAGACACAGAGAAATGTCTTGGTTTAAACAAAGTTAATGTTTCCACTGCATTATTTTTGAGGTTCAAGTGGTCTCAAGAAGTTGTGTCATCCAAACAGACCTAAGAATTCGTCCCATCCTCAAATACACTTCTGGCTGGCCTCTGTAGTTCATGGCTACATGCACAACTAAGATAAGTCTGTGAAATGGGAAATAGGCTTCAGCATTTTCTGTGAAAGTGCTGGTCCTACTTGTATAAGATGTAACCTTAACAAACACAGAGCTGTTTTGTTGGTTTTCAGACATGTCTGTCAGTTTGCTCACAGAAGAAGTATTGCCCACATAACGAAACTAAGTGCTTGACATACTGCTGGATGACTCAAGGCCATCAGACCCAAAACAGAAGATCAGTTCATCATAATAACAGAGTGAGTTTAAATTTAACACTACACTTTAATCAAAGTAGGATTTACAGACATGCTGCTCAAGACATAGGGGTCTACCCTCGAGTTATTGTCTGCAATGAACCTCACAAGCAGCCCAGTTGCTTGGTTACTGTTCCTGCAGTGAATCGTGACTCTGATGGCCCTGGGCTGCTGAATTAGAATTAGCTCAACTGAACAGGATTTCAGACTTTAGTTATACAAAATTTGATATTCTCTGTGTGAGAGCCAGGTAAAAGAACACAAAAACATGGAACTTTTCCTTGAAATCTTATTTGATATCTCAATCACGTTCTTCCACTTTCACCTCTGTTGTTTAGGGTAAATATCTAACTGAAAATACCATAAATTCTCATTGTAGAGATAAAATAACTAGCTAAGGCACTCTTTACAACTATTGATGAATTTCATGGTTAACACCACTCAATCATTGAGAATTGTTTTATTCTGACATAGCTTTTTAAGCCATTACAGCATTGATTTAGCGGCTCAGAAAACATTCAGACTAATTTTGTGTTACGTGAAGCTACTAAGCCAATCAAGTTCGACCGGAATCAGTGAGTGAGACACAGAGAAGAAACAATATTTGAGGTCGTAAGTGAAGTAGCATGAGTCAGAGAAAAGTAACGTGCAATGACATACTCTACAAAGAATAAAGTGGACATTGAAAAACGGTTTTAATCATGGACGGACATTCCCATAAGCATTCTGATACTCGTACATACTGTATATGTTCTGAGATTATAATGATTATTAAAAGCAGCAATGAGACAGGTCACAAAGCTTTAGAGCAAACATACCCACTGAAACCCTAAATGAAGGAAACTTCAAAAATAAACAATTTGGCCCAAGATAATGGAGCTTCCAGAAATCGTTGTTGCTTGGATTAAAGGTCAACATTTAAAAAAAAAAAATAGCTTGAAAGGTTGTCAAAGAGTGCAGTGACAAAAACAATTTGAGAGAAAACTAAAAAATTATAAACTATGGCAGCATTGTCGGCCATAAAATAAAAAGTACAAATTAACCCAGAATGTGTTAGCACAGCTGAATGTCGCCATTCATAAGCCATCAGGCCTAAATTTAGCTCCACTGACGTATCTAACAATTCTCAGCTGTCAGTTTATGTATGGAAGAGAAGAGCGAGATCTGTGAAGACCTGTAAGGCGTAACATTCCTTCAGACCAGTACAAGCAGAGAGGACATGAACCTGGCCATAAAGGAGACATTGAACAAGAGGTGGTCCGAATAATCACAGATGGAGGAGCTGTCATGAAAGGGAGAGAGAAAAAAGCTGTGGAAGGAAAGAAAGAGGGTAATCTATAGCCTTTCTCTTACCATGGTATATTTCATGCTCCACTATAACACCACACTGAGGTGAAGAACACAATGATGAGAATGATGGGTTTTCTCAGAGCATCCTCTTCCCATCAGCTTCACATGCGCACGCTGCACAACTTTATGAGACGGCTCATCGGAGGCAGGGTGTTGGAGCACCTTTGGTCCATCTGGAGGGAAATCGCAGCTTTTTTGGCACAGCTGAAGAGCCAGAGGGCAGCAACATTTTCTCCTTTGCTTGAGGAAAATTTTCTCCAACTGGACCTCTTTGACCTTTAATTGAATACCTCTGTTCCAGAAGCAGAGGCAGAGGAGTTGAAGTTGGTGAGCCAAGGTAAAATTGCTGGAGGAGGGTTGAGAAGGATTTGCAGGGAAATCAATAATAGCACTCTTTGGAGAGTTGTGCCTGTAAATGGAACCTGAAGCTGCAATGCTAGCAGTATGCTATAAAGCCTCATAACAGGCATTAGCCTAGTGTTTGCTGGTGGGTGTATTCGAATCAGTTTTCCATTTTTTCCTGTGTTAAGCCTTGAGCTAGAGGCCAGTTCAGGACAGACTCATCCACCCTGTAAGAAACAGCCAGGAAATGCCAGGGAAGCAGCTGTATTCTACTGTTTAACAGTAGTGGTTGACAAGATACTATTTAAAAAACTTCTGATTAAACATACATCTTACCTTTGTGTAATACATATAGTGTATAGTGATCACGTTTGTCCCATGCAAAAATGATCACTATAAACTGTTGATGCTAAAACTAAATTGCGTAGCTTCTGTGCGATAGTCCCAGACTCTGTCTCTCTCACCACAATGTCATGATCGACTTTTCATAATGAGTCAAATCTTTCTTTATAGCTGCACATGCATTCATCAGCCGGTCCTGCTCGCTCTTTTCCCCCTCTCTCTTGCACTGACACTAATGCAAACACACACAGAGACACTTGCACTCACACAAACAGTGTCATCGGACACGTGTGTAAACTCAGACTGGGTAAAAACAGAATTTGTAAGCCAGAGGAGATGGCCGGGCGTGCTTAGTTTGGATCGATTCAGTTGGCAGTGCATTGTGGGATAGAGACACAGAGAGGCGCAGTAAATTACTGACAACATTTAATGGTCCAAGCATGTATGAAAAGACCCCAAATGATCACTGTAAGCAGATTACCTGATCACTATATTCAAATTATTTTAAAATGTGTATTGGAATGATTCACTGTATCCGTGATCACTATAAGCAGTTTCCACTGTATGTGAAAGCATGTCTCTATAGTGGTCGAAAGGCCCCTGTGATTGTCAGGAGAACAGGCCACCCCTTCAACAGTGGTTCGCTCCAACTGTCAGCTACAAACGGGTGCATACTCCCCTTTGACCTCTGGGGGAAGTAGTGAGCCCATCTCTCTTTGACATACCACAATGTGTCAAAGAAAACTTAGTTGGACAAGTAACGACGTTGAGGAGGGAGATTTAGTTTTTTCGAAGTATGTTTTTGGGGTTTTACAGGAAAACTAATTGAAAGGATGAAGATTAAATGGGTGGTATGGCTAATGTGCATCTGGTGAACCGCCCCAGCACTGCTTCAGGCTCCACTTAATTAGTTGGAGCTATGGAACATGACATATGCCCAATGATTTCATCCCACTGAGAAAAGTACAACAGACTGTATGTACCTACCCCCTTGAATTCATCATGTTTGCATTCTTTTGTAGATAAACACAAAGTTGCCAAAACAATACGGTTAAACTGAAGAATAGAAAAAGTTACTACTCACTCCATATTTCTGTCAGATTCAGGTTAGACTTTTGTTTGTAATTGTAAATGCATACTACACTGATAGACTTGACTGATAAAAACCTTTTCACAATTATTTGAAAGAAAAAGTTCAGTTGTTCAGTGTGTGCGAATAAGTGGCATCTAAGGGTGAGGTTGCAAATTGCAACTAACTCAATACATTCCACCTCACCCCTCTCTAGGGCCAGTGCTTGGTTTGTCCATTCTGGGGTACTGTGGAGGCATGAGGGTGCAAAAGGGAAGGCACCATGGTAGAGGACCCAATCCTGATGTAGGCCTCATTCTTTAAAACCCAATGATTTTCAGTTTCAAGTGATTATACAGCAACGAATACAGGATTCTTAATATAAGATTCACTATCCATCAATAGATCCCCATTAATTGTACACTCTGGTCCTTTACACCACAGTAAACATGATGACCTTTTATATGCAACAGTGTATTTGGTGCACACAGTTCACCATCACGTTCCAGTCCTATTATGTATCAATGTCCTGTGCAAACAACACAGACCCAGAGGAGACGTCATGTGAGAGAATACTTCATTGTAATTCACTGAAGTTTTACACAAACATGAACAAAATCACCACAGGATGTAGACAGTGAAGGGAATAAATTATATATATGTATATATATGTATGTATATATATATATATATATATGTATATATATATAGTTAAATGTACTGTAAGAGTGCTGTGTTTGTTAGAAAATGACATTTCATCTGTGGCAGTAGCTGAGGGCTGGTGTCATGCCTTGCTCTGCATGTCCATCATAAGAATGTGATGAGGTAAAGTGGATTATACCAGCCTTCAAATGATGGTAAAAACTTTGGACTGGAGTTTTGTTTAACAGGCCACTGTTAAAAGCAGGACTTCTCCTGGTTGTCCCGATGGACAGCCCAATAATGACAATGGGCATGTTGTCAATGTGTTTGTGAGGGAAGAGAGGGACAGAGTAAGTAAGTGAATTAATTTGCTGCAAGGAAATTTTATGAGAGGTGCAACAATGAAAAAAATATGGTGGGCCACCAATTAATGGGAAAACAGCTAATTCATGGAAAACACTTGTCAGCTAAAAAAATGCAGAGCAGGTTTAAATGTAGAAGCACTCACTACATAAAATAAAAACAGATCAGCTGACATCAACTTAAAACCTTTAAAATTGGGTCTGAGGGTCAAGCTCTTGAAAAATACAAGTTTCGTCTTATGACCCTAATTGCA